TCTGGTTCTGGTTCTGTTCTGGTTCTGGTTCTGGTCCTGCTCTGGTTCTGGTTCTGGTTCTGGTTCTGCTCTGAGTCTGACCCGGTCAGCTGTGAGTGGATTAGCGTCCGCCGCCTCCCATAGGAGGATCACAGGGATGTGACCTCATCACGAGTGACCCTCGGAGTCCCCATAGCAACGCCGTGGCAACGCAACACCATGGCAACGGAGTGGAGCAACCTCTGATTCAACGCTTTGCATCTGCTTTTCATGTTCCCGCCTGCAGCGGCTTCCTGGGAGCCGCAAAGATGAAAAATATGAATCATTAGAAAGTGATGTGATCTCCTGAACTGCTTCAAGAAAAATAAGTCTGTAAGTGACTCACTGCTGTAACGCTTCACTGAGCTGCAGAAACAGCTGCAGGCGAAGTTTTCATTCCTTTATAACAACGGAGCCAGGGAAAGCTAAACTGTTCATGTTTGTGAGCTTTATTTTGAAGGGTCACGTTTGTTCTGGTCTGGTTTAGAACTCTAATCTGTCTTACAGAATGAGTCTTATTTTGAAGGGCTGGTTAGGTTAACTTAGTAGTGCAGAACAGCTATGACATATTAAAGCTTTTATTTTGAAAAACCAGTGTATTTTTTCACAACTGTGGAACTTTACTTTGAAAAGCCAACATGCTCCAGTAGTAATGATGAACTCGCTTCAAGACTTTTCCATTTATTAAGAATTTTATTTTGAAAGCTAGAAGGAAGACTTGCTAACTTGCAGGTTCAGTTTTTCACTGATGTCAACAAAACTAATAGGAAAGGAAATATATCAGCAGTCGCCTTAGAGAAGGGTCAAAGGTCATCTGCAAACCACCTAAAGTCCAGACAGGAGAACGTCCCGAAGTCAGAGCACGAAGCTCAGAGAAACGGCTTCCATCTCAGGCTCTACAGGCCTCAGTTAGCAGGTCAGAGGTTAAAGGTCATGACACTGAACCAATATGGCTGTTCTGGACAGCTGAAGGATAAACTCCTGTTCTCTCTTGAAACAAGATGGCGGCCGCAGCTGACCAGGAACGCTGCCGTTATTCAAAGCCCTCTGACTCTTAATGGAGGGTTTCTGTGGGACTTAGTGGCAGATTGAGCTTCTGACAGAGAAACTGGAGCTGCTGCAATCCCAGCTGGTGAGTCACAATCAGACGGGAACTCCTGATCCTCCCAGTTCACGGCTCACCGACGATGTACAGGAAAGAAAAACAAACGTGAACGAAGAACCTGCTGAGTGGCAGGAGGTGAGCAGTCTGTAGCAACACACACACACACAGAGACACAGAGACACACACACACAGAGACACAGAAAGAGAGAGACACAGAGACACACACACACAGAGACACACACACAGCGTCGCTTCGAGCTTTTGTCCTACAGTCAAACTGTAACGCGGTTGCAGGTTTACAAGACAAAGCAGTGCTGTGACAGCTGACTGATTACTAATGCTTACTCATTCTCACACACACACACACACACACACACACACACACACACACACACACACACACGCCACACCTTAACTCCCACAGACGGACAGGAAGCTGCTGGTTGACACACATTCCTGGACGCCGGCCCATCAGAGGACCTGCTGCAGGCTGTGATTCCCTGTTAATCTGACTGCGTTCAGGTGTGGTCCAGGTGTTACGTAAAGGTGTGAGGGCAAAGGTCAAATCGGATGACATAACGGCTCCAGGAGGAACATATGTGGGAGAGTTCAGGATGAATGAAGAGAGGCGATCAAATTTTACCTCCTTATTGTTGCTGAAGCATATTTACCCTTTGGGAGTCGAGTGAACCGGAACGTTCTGGTGGTTTGGGGTGAAACAGCGCCCCCTACCGGCGATCAGTATGCTGACTCCAATGGTTTACTAGTCGCTCTACGGCCACAGTCAGAAATATGTTGGGTTATTTAGACAAAAATGTGGATTCGTTTGTTTAAAATCAAATTTTCACCATGTTATTCATTAATTTATTAATGTCACAATTTCAAACTAAATATTTAATTATCAAGTTACATCTTTAATTTAGCTAAATATCTAAATATTTGTAAGCCACATTTTCAGCTAAATATTTACTTTGGAAGAGCTAAATATTTTGTTTCAGGCTAAGTATTTAAGTTGTTAACTATTTACATTTGCATATTTAGTTTGAGTCTAAATTCCTTGCTAACTACATATTTAGCTTGAGGCTAAATATTTAGCTTACTAACAAAATATTTGACTCCAAACTAAACATTTAGCCATGAAGCTAAATATTTGTATTCAAACTAAATATTTAGTTTGTTAAATATTTTAAGATACTTATTTAGCTTGCCAACTAAATATTAAGCTCCTTAGCATTTTGTTAAAAAGAGAAACATTTTGTTATGAAGCTAAATGTTGAGCTTGTTAAGTAAATATATAGCTAAAAACTAAATCCTTAGCTAGCAGGCTAAATATTTATAGCCACACTGTCATGAAGTTGCAGCGGTGGTGAGTAAGAACACAGCAGACCCAGGAGATGAAGATGAAGTTTTAATGGTGAAGGAACAGCTCAAACGAGCAGGCAGCACAGTGAACGGGAAGCTAAGCTAGCCACTGGTAGCAACTGATCAAACAATGAGACTCCATAACGAGCTGACGCCGAGAAAAGACGGTTCTACTGTGACGACTAAAGACCGTATGTGCGCAACGCAACACGACATACGTCAAACGACTAGGAACCGACAAAGACACAGAAACACAGGTGACATTAAATACACAGAGGGTAATCAGGGAACGAGACACACTGGGAACAAGCAAGGAGAAGACACAGAAACCCAAAATAAACACAAGAAAAACTCAAATCCACACACACTACATATTATGTTTGCTAAATATATGAAGCTAAATATTTAGCCTGATAGCTAAATATTTAGCTCCAAACATACATTTAGCTAAGAGCTAAATATTTCATTAGCAAGCTACTTTTTGTGTCTCCTAACTAAATATTAAGCAAAGTATCTGAAAGTAATAATTTAGCTTGTTAAATAAATATTTTTTCTCCAAACATTTAGTTAGCAAGCTAATAATTTGGCTACTTCCAAGCTAATGCTTCAGCTTGCTAGCTGTAAAAAATATGCATTACATTCATTATTATAAAGTATCTAAAATAGTGTCAAATGTATTCATGTTATCAAAGAAAAGCTTTTAAGATTATTCCGGTGTTATTATTCAGATGTTACTAAGTAATAATCCATATCAAGATTATTGAAAGTAGCCTTCATCATAATTTCCCGCCCCCTGACATCATCATCATCATCATCATCATCATCAACACGGAAGCAGCGGAGACCTGGGGGGGGCAGGAGAGGTGCAGGGAGACGGAGAGGACAGAGACATCCAGCTAAAGAGCCAGCAGGGACAGACAGGAGGACCGCGACAGACGGGCAGGTGTCTGGGGGAACAGCGGGACACTGAGACGCATCGACGGGAACATCATGGCGCTGATCCCCTCTCAGGTCCTGCGGGTCGCCATCCTGCTGTCCTACTTCTCCATCCTGTGCCACTACAAAGCGCTGGACATGCCGGCGCACCAGACCTACGGAGGCAGCTGGAAGTTCCTCACCTTCATCGACCTGGTCAGGCTCTCAATTGTTGTTATTATTATTATTATTATCATCATCACTGGAGCATGCGCAGAGGCGCTGCTGCAGGATGATCAAAGGATCATGTTTCTCTCTTTGTTCAGTTGTACGGGGAAGGGGGCGGGGAGCTAACTGGATCAGAACCGATCCTTATAGTGCGGGTTGAAGCACTGAAACGGTACTGGAGTCGCGTTGGAAGCGACCACCGCGGTTCTGCAGAGGTCAATGTGCTGCCTGCGGCTGAACCGGAACAGGTGTTGGACTTTAAAATGCAACCTGTCATAAACAACTTCCTGTGAGCGGGAGCGCGCCGCGCGCACTTTACCGCTCTGAAACAGGATGAATACGTAAACATCACTATTATACTCACTAACTTCACGTTAATTACTACTTAATATGTCTAAATAATCCGATATTTAATAAAAATATAACAAAGCCTGTAGATTAATATGGGGCGCCGTTTGTAAATCAGTCAAAAGCGAACAGCGGAAATGTGGGTTTCACACTTAATATTTAATTTGCAAACGAAATATCTGAGGATAAACATTTAGCTAGCTAGCTCAGTAGCTGTCGTGATCATTGAAGCGACCATGTTTAGCTAGGAAGCTAAATGTAGACCGGAATCTAAATATTTTTGTTAAAAGCTAAATATGAAAGCGAAATATTCCAAACTATTTATTTGGCAAACTAAATATTTGAGGCTAAATATTTAGCTTACTTACTAACTACTTAGCTCAAAACTAAATATTAACTAGCAAGTTAAATATTTAGTTAGCAAGCAAAATACTTAGCTTCAAACTAAAATTTTAATTTGCTATGTAAATATTTAGTTTGAAACTGTGGCATGCGTAAATGAATGAATAACACGGTGAAAGTATTCATATTTTTTCTTTCATTTCAGGCTAAATAACCCAAAATATTGCTGTTAATTTTTGATGGTGTAACTTTACAAATGGCACCCTTCCGATTCCAGGCTGCAGCTGATGCTAGCAGTATTTATTGTTGCTGTCAGTCATCTCTGTAACCTAGAAACCCTGACTGAGCGGTTAGCAGCAACAGCTCACATATTAGCCTTCAGAAGCCTGTTATGGATGCTGTTGTGAAATCTGTTTAAGGAGTGAAGGGACCAAACACAGCGTCCATTCAGGGAGAACAATGCAGCCATAGACAGACGGAGGGCAGCGGCTACTGTAAGCTAGCAGAGAGGCTCCACTAAAAACCAGCTTCTATTGGAAAAACAAACTGACCCTCAGAGTCTCATCTAGTTCTTCAAATCTAAGATAATTTTATATCACTGCTGCTTTTAGCCTCCAGGTCTGTTTCGTCAGATACATACAGAGTCCTCGGTGCTGATTGAAGTGTCCAGAGGAAGAAATTCACATTTTACTGCAGCAGCACCTCACACTGGGAACTTCAGGAAAGTCTCAACTTTAATTTGACTTTATTGAATCAGTGAAGAAAAAATCAGCCTAGGGATCAATATTAACCAATACTATTTATAGTTCATATATTTCCATACCCCTTAAGCGCCATTTAAAATGGCCAGTGGCAGTGTTGTGTTCAAGACCACCTAACCCGAGACCAAGACAAGACCAAGACCAGAGTGTATCGAGACCGAGAC